ATATATATATATTTTTTTTTTTTATCTTTACCCTCACTGAAGTCATTGTATCTGACTGTCTTTTTGTATTTCTCTCTATTTTTCTCACTCTCTCCCTCTCCTTCTCCCTCTATCTCTCTCTCGCTCTATCACTTTTTCTCTTTGAAACACCCCCTATCACCCGCACACTTTCTTACTTTTTTCATGTACCCCTAATTATGTCATTCTGTTTCTCTTTCTCTCACTTATTCTCTCTCTCTCCCTCTCCCTCACCCTCTCCCTCTATCTCTCTCTCGCTCTATCACTTTTTCTCTTTGAAACACCCCCTATCACCCGCACACTTTCCTACTTTTTTCATGTACTCCTAATTATGTCATTTTGTTTCTCTTTCTCTCACTTATTCTCTCTCTATCTCTCTCTCTATCTCTCTCTCTATCTCTCTCTCTCTATCTCTCTCTATCTCTCTCTCTCCCTCTCCCTCTCCCTCTCCCTCTATCTCTCTCTCTCTCGCTCTATCACTTTTTCTCTTTGAAACACCCCCTATCACCCGCACACTTTCTTACTTTTTTCATGTACCCCAAATTATGTCATTCTGTTTCTCTTTCTTTCTCTATATATATCTATCTATCTATCTATCTGTCTTTATTTTTATAAATCTATCCCTGTCCCACCCACCTCAATATCATCTCAATAGTCGTTGTTTCGATTTTTGTACATCATTCCTTCTATGTACATATATATCGGTATTTGTTCATATATATCAATTAATCAATCAACTGTTCCTTACCTATATCCATTTCACTATCTATATTTACCTCTATGTCTATCTATTTAGATCGTCATCTAGCCCTGTTTGCGGCTTCAATTTCCTGCCTCACATTCTTTTCCGTTGTTAGTACTTACAACGCATTTTTTCAACATTTTCTAAAAAAAAAATAATATTCATGTATATTTCTAACAAAACTGAAGTTTGATATTCCAACTCGTACCTAATTACGGAAATACATGATATCCAGAATCCAGCTAGTCAACACGATCCCTTTAAAATAATCACTGCAATTGCTAATTGGCAAAATCCCGGGGTCAGGTTAATTTTCTATCATTTTCAACCTCCACGCAAAGATTATTAATGATCATTCCAACGGATTAAATTCTTCAAATCCTTTACATTATGTTCAGACTAATTTATACGTATTTAGTCATTTTTTTGATGCCGTCAATCCAGTTGCATCGTTCGATAATTATTTATCGTTGAATAAAATATTTCATTAGTTTTTTACTTGAAGTATTTAAAATGATGATGGCTCAATTTTGAAAGATATTTTTTCTCTAAAACTAGTTCAGTTGTATATTTGTATCCAAAAAGAAATTTCTTCTCTTTCTATGTTCAGTTTATTGTTAATCTATCTCTATATTTTTTTTTTGTATTCTTATTTTTGATATATCCACGACTCTCTCTCTGATGATGATGGTACTCCTAGTGGGATTTTTGTTCCTCAAGCACTGCAGCCTTCTGGTTTATTATATATTCCCAGATTCAGTGCAATCGACTCGATCCTTCTCTTAACAAATATTGGTTATTGACAGTCGTTATTACAATTCTTTCCCTGGGTTTTCGTTTATGCCAGGTTGTCTGTCCGTTGAGCGGTTGCTTCACATTCAAAGTTGGCATAGATGACTGTTTCTTCACCTCACTGAATAACCTACAAATGGGGGTGTTCATTGAATATGCCCATGTTGCGTAGATACGAATCGCCTGATCCTGTCCTTTCATTTGTTTTGGAGCCATCAGTATACTTATACCAGTATACCAGTATACCAACCATATCGTTGCATCTGATGTCCTCCTGAATGCTTGTTCTCCTTTGTAATCTGTTGAGACTTTTTAGGAAGTTGTAAAGAGTGTTTCCCGAACCATCTGTTAGCCCACATTTCAATGAATTTGTTTGATTTTGTTAATTATTATTGTGTTCCCGGAGGGTTTGGTTCCCATCGAATTTTATTGTTTCTGGAGCCTAAATGAACTTTTCATCGCTTATCCTTGTACAAATATTTCCAATGGTAGTAGGCTTCGCAGTGCTTCTAGTACAATTGAAGGGGTTGTTTTCTTTGCCTCTGTGATACATAGGTTTGCCAGTCTTTATATGCTGCATAATGTTTGAGTAAGTTGTTTTTGCTGAGCTTTGAACCACCAAAATAATGAACTATTATTCAGACATCGTGAGATGTGGTCTGGTGTGATGTAGGTTTCAGAAAAACATTTTCTTTGTCGTGCCAACGTTTCGATCTTTATTGAGATCATCTTCAGGGCTCAAAGTGTTTTCTTCTGTATAATTGTGCCATTCTTGCGTGTCGTGTTGAGAGTACTCTACTAATCACCACACATAATGAACTATAGGATACTTTGTGTCAGGCTATACAGGGTGGCCCCAATCGATTCAGCCACACTTCCAGATCTTATAGGAAATTGAACGCTGAGTAAAAAAGATCCTATGAACCTGTGTCCGCAAACCCTTCAGTTCCGAGCTATAGGCAAGAAACCATGAAAAACGACGTTTTTTGACCTTATTCGTGAAATTGTTAGTAAACCGTTAGCTTGACCATAAAACAGCTCGAAACAACATCTGTAGAGGATTAATTTCTGCATCGAATGAGATTAAAACCAGCTTGATCGGCCGAAAATTTCATTTTTGGCGATTTTTGGAAGTTAGGAGGTGAAGGGGTACACAAAATTCACCATTTCTGACATTTTTATATAAAAGAATAAGGAAAAATCCTTTAAATACCCGAAGATATCCCTGGCATACTTTCGACTTGTTCTTAAGCTCTTCCCTTTGTTTAAATGATTATTGGTCTATTTCCATATTTTTATTCCTTTTCAGATTGATAATTTTGTCGATCCCCGATTAACGCAATCTGGACT